CCCGTCCTTTAAGGGCCGATTAGGGGGTAAGGGGTAAGTTGCACACATCTGGAACCCGAGGCTGCGGCTAGATATTGACCCGAGGAATCGATTGCGGCCCTTATTTCGGCGATCAGACGAACCCCTGAGGCACTTTTGACGCGCCCCTTCCTTTAAGGGCCGATTAAGGGGTAAGGGGTAAGTTGCACACATCTGAAACCCGAGGCTGCGGCTAGATATTGACCCGAGGAATCGATTGCGACCCTTATTTTGGCGATCAGACGAACCCTTGAGGCACTTTTGACGCGCCCCTTCCTTTAAGGGCCGATTAAGGGGTAAGGGGTAAGTTGCACACATCTGGAACCCGAGGCTGCGGCTAGATATTGACCCGAGGAATCGATTGCGACCCTTATTTTGGCGATCAGACGAACCCTTGAGGCACTTTTGACGCGCCCCTTCCTTTAAGGGCCGATTAAGGGGTAAGGGGTAAGTTGCACACATCTGGAACCCGAGGCTGCGGCTAGATATTGACCCGAGGAATCGATTGCGACCCTTATTTTGGCGATCAGACGAACCCTTGAGGCACTTTTGACGCGCCCCTTCCTTTAAGGGCCGATTAAGGGGTAAGGGGTAAGTTGCACACATCTGGAACCCGAGGCTGCGGCTAGATATTGACCCGGGGAATCGATTGCGACCTTTATTTTGGCGATCAGACGAACCCTTGAGGCACTTTTGACGCGCCCCGTCCTTTAAGGGCCGATTAAGGGGTAAGGGGTAAGTTGCACACATCTGGAACCCAAGGCTGCGGCTAGATATTGACCCGGGGAATCGATTGCGACCCTTATTTTGGCGATCAGACGAACCCTTGAGGCACTTTTGACGCGCCCCGTCCTTTAAGGGCCGATTTAGGGGTAAGGGGTAAGTTGCACACATCTGGAACCCGAGGCTGCGGCTAGATATTGACCCGGGGAATCGATTGCGATCCTTATTTTGGCGATCAGACGAACCCTTGAGGCACTTTTGACGCGCCCCGTCCTTTAAGGGCCGATTAGGGGGTAAGGGGTAAGTTGCACACATCTGGAACCCGAGGCTGCGGCTAGATATTGACCCGGGGAATCGATTGCGACCCTTATTTTGGCGATCAGACGATTCCTTGAGGCACTTTTGACGCGCCCCGTCCTTTAAGGGCCGATTAAGGGGTAAGGGGTAAGTTGCACACATCTGGAACCCGAGGCTGCGGCTAGATATTGACCCGGGGAATCGATTGCGACCCTTATTTTGGCGATCAGACGAACCCTTGAGGCACTTTTAACACGCCCCTTCCTTTCAGGGCCGATTAAGGGGTAAGGGGTAAGTTGCACACATCTGGAACCCGAGGCTGCGGCTAGATATTGACCCGGGGAATCGATTGCGACCCTTGTTTTGGCGATCAGACGAACCGTTGAGGGACTTTTGACGCGCCCCGTCCTTTAAGGGCCGATTAAGGGGTAAGGGGTAAGTTGAACACATCTGGAACCCGAGGCTGCGGCTAGATATTGACCCGGGGAATCGATTGCGACCCTTATTTTGGCGATCAGACGAACCCTTGAGGCACTTTTGACGCGCCCCGTCCTTTAAGGGCCGATTAAGGGGTAAGGGGTAAGTTGCACACATCTGGAACCCGAGGCTGCGGCTAGATATTGACCCGGGGAATCGATTGCGATCCTTATTTTGGCGATCAGACGAACCCTTGAGGCACTTTTGACGCGCCCCTTCCTTTAAGGGCCGATTAAGGGGTAAGGGGTAAGTTGCACACATCTGGAACCCGAGGCTGCGGCTAGATATTGACCCGGGGAATCGATTGCAACCCTTATTTTGGCGATCAGACGAACCCTTGAGGCACTTTTGACGCGCCCCGTCCTTTAAGGGCCGATTAAGGGGTAAGGGGTAAGTTGCGCACATCTGGAACCCGAGGCTGCGGCTAGATATTGACCCGGGGAATCGATTGCGACCCTTATTTTGGCGATCAGACGAACCCTTGAGGCACTTTTGACGCGCCCCGTCCTTTAAGGGCCGATTTAGGGGTAAGGGGTAAGTTGCACACATCTGGAACCCGAGGCTGCGGCTAGATATTGACCCGGGGAATCGATTGCGATCCTTATTTTGGCGATCAGACGAACCCTTGAGGCACTTTTGACGCGCCCCGTCCTTTAAGGGCCGATTAGGGGGTAAGGGGTAAGTTGCACACATCTGGAACCCGAGGCTGCGGCTAGATATTGACCCGAGGAATCGATTGCGACCCTTATTTTGGCGATCAGACGAACCCTTGAGGCACTTTTGACGCGCCCCTTCCTTTAAGGGCCGATTAAGGGGTAAGGGGTAAGTTGCACACATCTGGAACCCGAGGCTGCGGCTAGATATTGACCCGGGGAATCGATTGCGACCCTTATTTTGGCGATCAGACGAACCCTTGAGGCACTTTTGACGCGCCCCGTCCTTTAAGGGCCGATTTAGGGGTAAGAGGTAAGTTGCACACATCTGGAACCCGAGGCTGCGGCTAGATATTGACCCGAGGAATCGATTGCAACCCTTATTTTGGCGATCAGACGAACCCTTGAGGCACTTTTAACGCGCCCCGTCCTTTAAGGGCCGATTAAGGGGTAAGGGGTAAGTTGCACACATCTGGAACCCGAGGCTGCGGCTAGATATTGACCCGGGGAATCGATTGCGACCCTTATTTTGGCGATCAGACGAACCCTTGAGGCACTTTTGACGCGCCCCGTCCTTTAAGGGCCAATTAAGGGGTAAGGGGTAAGTTGCACACATTTGGAACCCGAGGCTGCGGCTAGATATTGACCCGGGGAATCGATTGCAACCCTTATTTTGGCGATCAGACGAATCCTTGAGGCACTTTTGACGCGCCCCGTCCTTTAAGGGCCGATTTAGGGGTAAGGGGTAAGTTGCACACATCTGGAACCCGAGGCTGCGGCTAGATATTGACCCGGGGAATCGATTGCGATCCTTATTTTGGCGATCAGACGAACCCTTGAGGCACTTTTGACGCGCCCCGTCCTTTAAGGGCCGATTAGGGGGTAAGGGGTAAGTTGCACACATCTGGAACCCGAGGCTGCGGCTAGATATTGACCCGGGGAATCGATTGCGACCCTTATTTTGGCGATCAGACGATTCCTTGAGGCACTTTTAACGCGCCCCTTCCTTTCAGGGCCGATTAAGGGGTAAGGGGTAAGTTGCACACATCTGGAACCCGAGGCTGCGGCTAGATATTGACCCGGGGAATCGATTGCGACCCTTGTTTTGGCGATCAGACGAACCGTTGAGGGACTTTTGACGCGCCCCGTCCTTTAAGGGCCGATTAAGGGGTAAGGGGTAAGTTGCACACATCTGGAACCCGAGGCTGCGGCTAGATATTGACCCGTGGAATCGATTGCGACCCTTATTTTGGCGATCAGACGAACCCTTGAGGCACTTTTGACGCGCCCCGTCCTTTAAGGGCCGATTTAGGGGTAAGGGGTAAGTTGCACACATCTGGAACCCGAGGCTGCGGCTAGATATTGACCCGGGGAATCGATTGCGACCCTTATTTTGGCGATCAGACGAACCCTTGAGGCACTTTTGACGCGCCCCGTCCTTTAAGGGCCGATTAGGGGGTAAGGGGTAAGTTGCACACATCTGGAACCCGAGGCTGCGGCTAGATATTGACCCGGGGAATCGATTGCGACCCTTATTTTGGCGATCAGACGAACCCTTGAGGCACTTTTGACGCGCCCCGTCCTTTAAGGGCCGATTAAGGGGTAAGGGGTAAGTTGCACACATCTGGAACCCGAGACTGCGGCTAGATATTGACCCGGGGAATCGATTGCGACCCTTATTTTGGCGATCAGACGAACCCTTGAGGCACTTTTGACGCGCCCCGTCCTTTAAGGGCCGATTAGGGGGTAAGGGGTAAGTTGCACACATCTGGAACCCGAGGCTGCGGCTAGATATTGACCCGAGGAATCGATTGCGGCCCTTATTTCGGCGATCAGACGAACCCCTGAGGCACTTTTGACGCGCCCCTTCCTTTAAGGGCCGATTAAGGGGTAAGGGGTAAGTTGCACACATCTGAAACCCGAGGCTGCGGCTAGATATTGACCCGAGGAATCGATTGCGACCCTTATTTTGGCGATCAGACGAACCCTTGAGGCACTTTTGACGCGCCCCTTCCTTTAAGGGCCGATTAAGGGGTAAGGGGTAAGTTGCACACATCTGGAACCCGAGGCTGCGGCTAGATATTGACCCGAGGAATCGATTGCGACCCTTATTTTGGCGATCAGACGAACCCTTGAGGCACTTTTGACGCGCCCCTTCCTTTAAGGGCCGATTAAGGGGTAAGGGGTAAGTTGCACACATCTGGAACCCGAGGCTGCGGCTAGATATTGACCCGAGGAATCGATTGCGACCCTTATTTTGGCGATCAGACGAACCCTTGAGGCACTTTTGACGCGCCCCTTCCTTTAAGGGCCGATTAAGGGGTAAGGGGTAAGTTGCACACATCTGGAACCCGAGGCTGCGGCTAGATATTGACCCGGGGAATCGATTGCGACCTTTATTTTGGCGATCAGACGAACCCTTGAGGCACTTTTGACGCGCCCCGTCCTTTAAGGGCCGATTAAGGGGTAAGGGGTAAGAGCTAGGGCCAAATAAAGGTCATATTCTTGCTCCCCGTCCCCCAATTGACCTACTATGAGTTTTTTAGGCGATTCTGAATCCGACGCTGTATTCGTTGCTGTTGCTGACGCTAACTTCACGGACATGACTTAGCCGGCCAGAATATGTATTTACTAGTTTATTGTCTTTTTGTGTTTCGAGTTTGTTGTATTCGATTTTGCTTGGCGAAAACCGTATTGTTTTATTATTAACAAAAAAAACTTTTTTATTGTGCACGCAAAATTTCAAAGCTTAATAAATTCCAAACTGGAAAAATTGTCGTAAAAATATTTCTGATATTTGGTGGTGGTGCCAAAATGTCTGCTCCCATCGGCCGCTTGCCAACCGAAATTTATCAAATGGTGCCAATCTGGCGCAGACTACAATTTTATAAGGTATTTTATTATTGCTTCTCTTTGGTGTTGATTTAGTCTGTTTTAGTTTGGTTCTCAAAGTGTGGTGGTATACATAATTCACCCTTTTTCGAGACTGATAAACTTTCAATTAGCTTCTTTTCAATTTATTATTACTTTTTTCGAACAGCAACAGTGATTGCTTTTCTGACCACCTAAAATTATAAGAACATCTTAAACTTAAAATTTTTATTGATAGGAATGTCATTTATGCCAGTCGGGGAAACTATGGTAAAATCTGCTATTTTTAGCAGTCTGCTATTTTTAGCAGAAATCTGCTAAAAATGGGTACGCATGTGACGTCATCGTACCCAAATATAGCAGATTTGGGTACGGCCCCATACAAAAGCAGATCTGCACCCTAATTGAAGCAAATGCGCATCAAATGCCTGGCAAATTCATGATGAGAATAGTGCTGAGAGTGTTCTCTGCTATTTTTGTTCAGATCCGACTATTTTCAAATTCATTATTTAAAAATAGTCGGATCTGAACAAAAATATCAGAGGACATTCTCAGCACTATTCTAATCATGAATCTGCCAGGCATTTGATGCGCATTTGCTTCAATTAGGGTGCAGATCTGCTTTTGTCGGGGGCCGTACCCAAATCTGCTATATTTGGGTACGATGACGTCACATGCGTACCCATTTTTAGCAGATTTCTGCTAAAAATAGCAGACTGCTAAAAATAGCAGATTTTACCATAGTTTCCCCGACTGATGCCTTACCTTGAGGCCATTGCTAACACATTAACACTAAGGGTACTTAGTTTTAAGTTTTTAATGTGACATTGAATGAATACACCTCCTTTGCAAGGATTTGTCGTAAATGTTAACAACAAGTCAGACTTACTTTTCAGGCATAAATTATGCATATTCTTACATTATTTGGTGATTTTTAAGACCTTTGCCAGATGCCTATCAAATCACATATTTCAGAATCTACTTCTCCATGCTAAATGACGTGGAAACCATCATGAAAACGCTGAAATGGACAATAACTTTCAATTTATTACAATTACACCAACCATATTTCGTACAACGAAATTACACTACCATTTCAATGTTAATCATAATGGGCCATGTGTGTAAACTGCAAAGTGTGGCAGAATTATAATGTAACAGAGCACTCCAGAATTCCAAATTTCCGCGTGAATTAATTCTGCATGAATTAGAAAAATGAGGCCACATAATGAAACAATAAGTACACATAAGTAAAGTGATAGTGTGGCGGATCCGGCAGAGTAGGGGCAGTTAGGAACTACAGCCCCAAGCCATAAAAAGAAATGCCACCCTGTGGAGCGACAAATCTGGGCACTGCAAGACTATAATGCACTACATCCACAAACAACGCATTTGATAGTTCTTTCACAGACCCTTCTGATTGTTGTGCTCAGATTTGACCTTGGGTCAATGGCTTAGCCTCTAGAGGGCAAAACTAAAACATAGCTGTTATAATGAAAAACATTTTTTTCTGCAATAACTTTTGAGTTTTGGCTCAAGAAAATGACATTCATTTTGCCAGCATTGTGTTCCTCTCGTCAAGACGCATCTCAAGACGCGAATGAACTATAATTTGACCTTGAAAGGTCATTTTGAAAATTCAGGTCAATTGAAACTCAGGTCAAGGTCATCACTTGACCAGAAAAGGTCATGCTGATTGCTGCATATCAGTCGATCCGTATCGTCAAGCTGAACACATCTGAGGTGTTTTCATCGCTCTAGCATGTCTATCAAAAGTTATTGTCAGAAAATTGCTGAGGACCTTTCATGACCTGATATCACCTCAAATCAGGAGAGGTCACAGGTATCATTTTCCGGTTCAGTATGTCATGTTTACTTGTAATTTGGTGTTTGAAACTGTTTAGAATGCCGTTTGACTAAAAGAGGCGTCTTTCAATTTTCTTCTTTGACCTATAATGGAAGGGGGGGATTGACCTCACTTTAGGTCACCAATATGAAATTCTGAGATATGGGTACCCGTCAAAATTCGTGGAGATTTGGGTCGATATTTGTCCCACAACTGATTTCCTAGAAATCATTACCTTTTCATAAACCATGCACCCTAGGCTGTTCACAGTTGTAATTATTCAAAAATGCCATTGCGCATGCGCGTAAAATGGTCCGTGACCCAGAAAAAGTAAAATTTTCTTCTGGGTCACGCATTATCAAACCAGATACGTTCACTCACCTCATGCTTACCCGGTCCGTAATGCTTTGAATGAGGAGCTAAGTACCGTGACCCAGAAACAAACGTGACCCAGAAAAAACGTTTGCCAAAAACCGTGGGACAGACGTTTTTGCGTTGTGCAGTTTTGCTAAATTGTATAACCAAAAAATAAGAACCATGAAGAGAAATTGCAATGTTTTTGCTATTCACAACGCTCCCTCGCGCTCAATTATCTCTAAAAATAACTACACAGCAGCTCTGTAGATTTTTTTCGCAGGTTTTGGGACAAGCTAAAATACATAGGCACACAAAAGCACGGTTTTGGAAAGATGTCCAAATTTTTTTTTTGCCACTTTGCTGTTGCCTTTTCAATGATTTTTTCTTCAATCAAATGTCCAAATCTCGCGTACGAACCCGTGTTACGCTGAAATAAGCTCATTTATTGACGTGAGGCATTATTGAAATAGTGGGACAGCATATCTCCACGAATTTTGACGGACACCCATATACGTTTTGTATATGCTGCTACTCTCACCAATCGCTGAAAGTTTCAAAGCGATCAGTCACTCGGTCTAGCATTGAAACTTTTTATGAGTTGAGGTCACTTTACGTGACCTGATGCAGATCTGAACTTGAGTGACCTTGATCTGAAATTTTAACATGTGCATAAAAGATGCATGATAAGGTGTGCGAAAAACTGCAGGGGGTGTTCACCCCCCCCCCCCTCCCAGCAGGGTGAGTGTTCATCGGATACCTGTATTCCTTTCCGGCCCCTGCTCAATGCTAATGCTAACCGTGTCGTTTTCTGGTGTGTCGGCACCGGCAGGCTGTGTGGCCGGACGACGCGGGCTAATGGCCGGACCGGCCGAGTGGCTGAGACTGAACGGCCAACTGGTGGCCGTTCCCAGTGTGGTCTGCGAGCGGCGGCCCGCCTTCGACGCCGCGCTCAGCCGCGCTGCCTGGGACGCGCTGGCCGAGCCGCAGCGCGACCACCTGCGGGTGAGGGGTACTCATAGTGCCACTCGGGAGTGCAGGGACTGGCACCGGCGCGCACTCAGGACGTGGATGTCATCATAATTCATAGCTTCTGTCACATCTCACGTGTACAGTTTGCACCCTGCAGTTGAAGCATCATTTCTAATTTTTTAGACCGCCACCAGCCACGGCTTTTGTGTATATTTTCTTTTTTTACGATACTAGGAAAAAAGCATTGTTCAGGTCATAACTATGCGTATTTTTGTACCGCCGTTAACGCGTCCTGATTCCCCCGCCGTCAGACGCTGCTACCCTCCTTTCCGGGAGACGATGATGGCAAGGAGCAGGAGGAGACACTTCGCCGACTGTTTGCCGGGGAGAACTTTCGGTTCGGTAACCCGCTGGACCAGTTCTTCTCGCTGCTGCACGACGGTCGGCTGACGGACCAGATCCACTCGCTGCGGAGACTTACCGCCGAGACGCGCCAACGCGACGCAAAGTGAGCCACCAGAGGGTCAGGGAATAAGGGTCACCGAGGATCAATGCAGAGTTCAAGTGAAGGGACGTTAAAAACGTAATTGGTCGAATAATTTGGTCCAGAAAGGTGTCTTTATATGTGTTTTACTGGCCTATGAAAAATGTTTCCACTGGGTTTTTGTTCACTGCATTTTATTTATCGATGCTTCACGGAATTACCGTCGTCTTTATCCAGGGTATGGCAGCAGAACTACATGGACAACCTGCTGAGAGAGCTGGTGACGAAGCGGAAGCAGTTGTTGGACGCGGCCGTCAAAACGCCCCCGGATGTTCCCATAACACTGCCGCCCGCAAAGAAAAAGGTGAAGGGCGCGGGGCGCGGGAAAGCCATATTTCAACTATTATTCGTTTTTATAGCTGTGCTGGGAGCAGTACTGTTAAATCACCTTGTAGTATTTTTTTTTTTCTTAAAGTGCCACCTTTGAAGTCGTTTCACCGTTCGGGTGTCGTGTTCTGATCGTGTTGTCTGCCCTTCTTCAGTGTCGGCGAGCCGTGCTGGAGCAGCGCGCCCGCAAGCGTTACTTCCGAGAGCTGGAGCTGGCGCGGGCAGAGGCCGGCTGTCCGGCCGACGAGCTGTCTCCGGACGAAAACTATCCAGGTAGCTACAGGGGTGAACGTACAGCCCACCGCTAAAGTAATGTGTGGTTTTACCAATCTCAACGGATGGCTTTGACCGACGATTTTTAAATGCGGACTGATTGAAAAGAAGACGTCAATAGATAAAGTTGTAGCTGCAAGGGTGAAGATGCATGTAAGCTACATTTAAAGTCTCGTTGCAGTCTGGCTGATCGTTCCTAGGCTTCAGAAGCAGAACATACCCATGACTGAAACCACACATTACTTCTGCTGTGGACTGTACAGCTGATAGACGCGCGCAGGATTTAACAGACTATTATTTCATGGCAATAAATTGAGCAGGATAGTGGTGACGGTTTACATTGAAACCCTACGTCACATTGTAATCTTAGACTGTTATGCTCGTTTCTTTTTATCGTCTTTGCCTCTAACCATTTTGTTTTATTTGATTTGCACGTCTTTACATATTTTCCAAACACTGAGCTCAATATGTCATGGCCGATCCTGTGTCCGGTTCCGTGCCGTCTTGGCGTCCGTTCAGTCTGCCAGTATATAACCCTCCTCCGGTCCCCGTCCACAGAAGGTCCGCCACCGGTGTTATCACGGAAGCAGCAGCGCCACCTCACTAAACTGGAAGCTACGCTGGGCGGCGAGCACGTGCCGGTGGCGGCCACGAGCAGCCGGCTGACGACCCGCGGACCCCACCTGGTCGAGCACGCCTCGCCCGAGGATAACCCGTACCAGGTGGCCGAGGCGCGGCTGGGACAGCTGCTGAAGCAGCATCGGAAGCGCCGCGCCCGCGGACAGGTCAGAGACGGGCGGGGTGTGTCGTGTGAGCAGGGAAGGGAGGGGGGGGGGGGGGGTGAGGGTGTAATGATCAGCACTTGGTTCTGGTGTTTCAGCTGGCTCTTTTGTAATAGTGTTGAAAAATGCGTTACGGACAGGTTAGTTTGTCTTGATTTTATTACGTCACCGATATATAGTTGCTCATCCGCCCCGTTTTAGTCGCACTTCTGGAAATGTGCGGCGCTTGCGTTGGAATGTCATTATGATGCCGCTAACCACTCACTAGTGCGTGTGCCGACAGGTGCCTGCGGTCAGCGCGCGCGACCGTCAGCGACTGGACCTGCAGTCGCTGCTGAAGCGCTCCTCCCCGGCTGGTCATTCCACCGACTCTGACTCGGACACAGCCGCTGTCGCCGCTCCCTCGAGGGCCGTGACCGCCACCGTCGTCAAAAAGTCCTCCACGCCTCCCCCGGCTCCTCCTCCGGCGCCGCCGCCTCCATCTACCGTCATCGCTCCCGCCCCAACCCCTACCGCCACCACCACCTCTGCCACCGCCGCCTGCTGGCAGTCCGCCGCGCTCGGCCAGAAAACACACACCAGCTTCTTCTCCCTGCTCCGTGACGTTCTGTGCTCGGACCCGGCCGACCGGCTGGCCGAGACGAGCGTGTACAGCGCGGTGACTGCCTGGCAGCGCTCGCCGATAGCGGCGCTCAATGACTGGTACGGCCGGGAGAGCAGCTGGGTGGAGGCGCTCGGGTCGGCGCTGGCCTTCCTGTCGGGAGAAGTGAGAGGTGGGTTCGAGCGGGGGTCCGTGCTGGGGGAGACACGGACCGTGGGAGGGGATGGACGGAGTTATGTGTGCTCCACCAATTCGGAGACCAGAGAGGGTAGGAAAGGTGGTAGTGGAGTAATATGGATGAGAGGGAAACGGAAATGGGGTGGACAGTAATAGGTTTTGTTTTGACGTTGGTTCGCCTTTTGTGTGTGGACGGATGACTGATTAGGGCGATGATGAGAGTGTGATGACAGGTATTTGTTGACTGAGAATAATGTTCTTATAGCAGTTTTTTTTTCTTTTGGTCAGCGTCTACAATGTCTTTTGTGTAGTCATACCGAATGTACTTTACAAACACTGACTGTGAAACAAGTGGTTTGCTTTCTCTTTGTATTGGCTGACCACAGGTGTGCAACTGATGTGATGTATATTGGCAAATGACATACATAACTCTGATAGACTTCTTGTTACCTGTCCCACAAATTTCACAGCCACCCCTACCTCCGTTTGTTACAGAGCTGCAATCTCAGATAAACCTAGTGCCTTTTCTGGACCACGTACGGGAGTCGGGCATCTACCAGTGGATCGGGGCCGGCCGTGACTCTGACATTCACCTAGAGTCGCTCTGCGCCTACTGGCTCCAGAGAAAGTCAGTACATAAGAGATCAGAGGGAAGGGATAGTATAAGTTTGGTCAGTCGAATGAAGTTTGCTCTGTTATCATCTGAAGGATAGTCTTATTGGTGTGACTTAAGCGTTAGCTTGTATGGAAGAGCTCGATTTTTCCTCCTCTTCGTCTATAAAAAAATGTCAGAAGTCTTATATACAGGTCCCTTGACAGAGGACTGCCACCCTCGGTTGAATGGAATTTGCTTTGTTGTCGATTGTCCTTTGTCACTGACATTATGCCGCTGTTCCCCCTCTCTCAGGGACACCATCAGCGTGAAGCGGGAGCCGTCAGGAGACGGCAGTGGTCCTCCGGCGGCCCTGCACCCCACCTCCTGGACCGTGGTACCGAGCACGCCAGCCGAGAAGGACGAGTACAGACAACAGGTCAGTCGGTACCGGCACTTGAGAACATGGAGCTTGTATTGACATGGGTACATTTCATTTTATCGACCTGTTCTCGTATATGGTGCTGCCTCTCACCCTCTCAGATGCCAAACGGTGAAGTGTCTGTCATCGTCAGTGTACCCCGCCTGACCCGCCCCCTCTGACCCCACAGGAGCGGCTGCGGTACCAGGCGCCGCGGCGGGCCTTCACGTACCGCCTGCACGGCTACCGGGCCACTGTGGGCCCCGTGCGCAGCGGGCGCGATTCGAAGGCGGGCCGTGGCCACGCGCTGCTGACCGCCGACCGGCCGCCCGGTGTCACCCTGCTCAGTCTGGTCCGGGACGCCGTGGCGCGCCTCCCGAACGGCGAGGGCTCGCGCGCGGATGTGTGTGAGCTGGTGCGCGACTCCGGGTTCCTGGTGGCGGGCAGCGGCGACCAGCCGGTCTCGGCGGCAGTCAGCTCGGCCATGGACCGGCTCCAGGCGGAAGTGGACCCGTGCCTGCGCTACGACTCGCACCGCAAGGTCTGGATGTACCTGCACCGACACCGTACAGAGGCCGAGTTCGAGACGCTGGAGCGGCAGCGCCAGGCCAGCTGTCCCCGCCGCAGGCAGGCTGTCAAACGCTCCGCGCCGACACCGGCGGTGTCTGCGGCTGGAGGTGTGTCGGCAGCGGCGACCGTGGTGGCCGTGGGAGCGGCACCAGCGGGAGCCTCGCTGCTAAAACCGAGGGCCGGTGCGCTGACGGTGGCCCAGCCCAAGTTCAGCGCGCCCGCGCCGGTTCCGCCGATCGCGCCGGGCTCGGCTCCCGCAGCTGCAGCGGCAGTGAGTGCCGTGCTTCCGTCAGAGCCAACCACTCTGACACAGACGGAGCTGGCTGTGCAGAGCATCCTCCCGGCAGCGCCTCCCAACGTCCCCCTGGCTCCCGCGCCCGCCTCGGTCGCTGTGCCGGCGCCGACCGTGCTGGCCGCTGCTCCGACGGCGGCGAGCGTGGCTCAACTTCAGCTGGTGTCTCGGGCGGCGGCGCTGTCCCCGGCCGTGGCCGCCAGCCCGCCGCTGGCTGCCGTCGCCGGTCACCCGCCCACCGTGCAGTCGGTCAAGGTGGTCAAAAACCAGCACACCATCGTACACATCCCTTCCAAGACGCCGGGCGCCGCGCCGCAGCTGGCACTCCTCGCCAACGGCAAGCTGATCCCCATCGTCAACCAGCCCGCCACTGTGAAGGCGGTGGACGGCCGACCGCGCGCCTCACTGGTGGTGGCCCCGCAGCGGCCGGTGGCAGCGGCGGCGGCGCGCTTGCGGCCGGCGACCCCGGCTGTCACCGTGCAGGAGGCGCCGAGGAGGCCGCTGCTGAGCCGGCCGGCCCCGGTGGCGGTGGCACCGGTGGCCAGTGCGGCAATAGCGCCGCAGCAGGTCGTTCAGGTGAGTTAGACGGTGATGGGGAATTGGACGGGCGGGCGGGAGTAAGTCTGGTGGTCGTTGGTTTCATGGTTAAGAGAGAAACATGGAGGTACATGCCAGTAATTGGTTAGACGTTTGATAGTGGCTATTGTGAAAACAGTATTATTACGGAGCGAACGGAGGCCGGAGCGAGCGAAGTTTTTCGTAGAATAACAAAAATTTCTTAGTATGAGCGGCCGGCCGGCCGGCCGTGGTCACGCTTTTGCGAAGCTTATATCTCCCGCAACTGCTGGGCCGATTTACTTGCGGTAATTTGTGTAGGGTAGCTTCATTCTTTCTACCAAGAACTGAACTATTAGCGATGCATGTGGAATGTGGATGCCCCCTTATGCACGTGCCACGTGCAAAACGAAGAGGTGTCAGTTTTGCAATAATTGCGATACCTCTGTAATAACTGGGCCGATTGCGCTGAAACTTTACATGTAGGTGGGGGAGGGACCCACCAGGCAATGCATTCCCATGTGTCACGGTTGGGGTGCTGTTGCACGTGCGCACGTGCGGGGGTCGTTTCCAGATCTCAGGAACGGCTTTACCGATTGCGCTCAAATTTGGTACGCGGCTAGGGACCGGTTAGTAGGGTGCCGTGCAAAAGTCAGTTGGGACCCAGTTTGCACGTGCTCACGTGCAGGGTGCCGCTTCCAGACCTCGAGAACGGCTGGGCCGTTTGTGCTCAAATTGTGCACATCGCTATACACCGTGTAGTGGGATGCCGTGCAAAAGTCAGTTAGAAGCCCCCTTCGCAATTTCGCACGTGCAAGGCTCACCCTCTCCCTCGCTCCGCTTGTTTGCCCCCAAAAGGCGTAATTTACTGGCTTTAAATATATGATCCCAGTCGTTGGTTGAAACAGTGCTCGTTTCCATTATCGTTCAGATGATGTTCACCATCATCATTCCCATTCCCATAGCGATGTTCTTTATCTTAAACATAATAGTTCGGTGGCTGTTTTTCTTCGAAATTTCCTGAATAAATACACATAATTTAACTTTGTCTAGGAGTTCATAATGAACCAATGTTATATAAGCATGTCGTGGCCACGCGCCGTTCACCAGAACCAGGGCTGGTTCCGTTTAGCCTGTAGTTACTGCGCCGCATTCCGGGGCGATATGGTCTGTGAGGCCTGCGAGGTCTGGTGTTGGCGAGGTTTGATGTGTACTTTTTATAGCTGCGACGCTCGAGTGACTACGCCAGGCGGGTACGCTTATGCAATGGTCACGGAATCTCGGTGTGCCATCGGATCTACCGTCCCTTCTAGTGAAGGTAGTGACCGACGGTATTGTGTTCCTCCGCCAGGTATCGGGCTCGGCTGCCGTTCCGGCCGCCTTGGCACCGGCGTCACTCGCCTCGGTGACGCTCGGCGCCCCTGCCGCGGCCACCTCCGCCGCCGCCGTCACTGCGGGCTCCGCCGGCGGCGCCCTGAAACACATCACCATCCCGGTCTCCCAGCTGTCGCGGCTGCTGCAGCAGCAGGCGGGCAGCGGCGCGGCTGGCGCGCTGACTCTGGCCCAGATCGGTGGCCGGCAGGTACTGATTGCCGCCCGGCCGGCGGCCAAACCGCCGCAGCCGCAGCTGGTGCAGCGCGTGCAGGCACCCACGCAGACGGTGCAGGCCTTGCACGGCGTGCAGAGCGTGCACACCGTGCGGCCCGCCCAGCAGGTGAGGAGGGACGGGGTGGCACAGGTCACAGGTCAAACAGTGGGGTTGATTGTCACTGGAGAATATGTGGCGGTGTCTCTAGCTCTTTCCGATTTCCCCTGCACTGCTTTTCGACAAAACCTCCTGACCTTTCTGGCACCACCATGCCGATGCCTGCTATTTAATATACATCGCTGCTGTTCTTGCGTTTTCCGATGTTCCGCACACACAGGACACATTCTATGTTCTACGTTTGTAGATAGTATGTGGGCCGTGGATGGACGTCCATCAGTGTCCAGCTTGTGGCTGCTAGTGACGCGGCCTCTCTGCTCCCCAGGTGGTGCTGCAGGCGGCTACTCACGTGGTACCGGCGTCGGGTGTCGCTCCCACCCGGCAGATCTCCGTGGCCACCTCCCAGCTGCAGCTGGCGGTAAGGAGGGGAGACCGGATAGAGGGACTGCAATACTGATAGGATGGGGTCTTTCAAGGTGGAGTGTTGGGACTGACTTTAGAAGGAAGGAAGGTTTGTGACGGGCGATGGCGCTTCCACCCGGAGATGAGCTGCGAGTCTTGGAAGACGTTTTCTGGTCTCTTCAATCGGACTTTATTCACGGTATTTGTGCCGTCAATTGCCACACACTACCTGTGTTTGCGGCTGACCAGCTTTTTTACATTACACAATCCGTTATTAACAATAACAACCGTTTGCAACCTGGCGCACGGTGGCTCAGCTACATAGGTATGGCTTCCTTCGATCTCATCTAACCTCCTGGTCCCCCCCCCCCCCCCCCCCGTCCCCGTCACAGGCGGGCGGCGCGGTGTCGGCCGTCCGGCCGGTAGCCGCCGGCCGGCCCGTGGTGCTCAGCTCGGCCGCCCAGTCGCCCGTACAGCTGCTCTCCGGCGGACTGAGGACGCTGCACGGCTACAAACTGGTGCAGCTGCCGGCCAGCGCCGCCGCCTCAGTGCAGGCCAGAGGTATGAGTTTGAGTGTGTGGAGGTGTGAACTGTGGAGTACGTAGATTGTAGAGTACAAGTCCGAGTGTGTCGTTGTTTGAGATTTAATGCAACATGTCAGGTATCTTTACATAGCACACCATAGTCCCTCAATCATCAATGTATCTTCGGTTGTGCTTCAGTATAACCTTTCTTTTAGCACTAGAGTCGTCACTTGCTCACTCGCTCAGTTAACTTGTTTACTCTCTCGTAACTTCGTAAGCTCACCCCCTCACTTTATCTGCTTGCCCTTACCGCCCTCCGTCTCTCCCAGGTGTATCCGTCGCTACTGCGGTCCATCAGAAGCCGGTCCAACGGCCGGCCGACCTGCTCGCCCCGCTAGTGGCAGCGACTCTGTCGTCCCCCGCGGTCGCGGCAGTCTCCTCAGCGACCGCAGCGTCACCTGCCGTCACTCAGTCGTAACACAAGTACCCGCCGCCGCCGACAGGCGGCGGTCGCAGCCAGTTCGCCCGTAGGTTAGCTTTGTTATTGTTTTACCTCATTGCCCATCTCATACGGTCATCAATACCTGTGTTCACTGCCCTCATTTTCATCCTGGACGAAGTGTCATTTGTTTTGTATCTCGTTTATGCTGTGATTGGGGGCCTGTGGGCGGGAGACGCCAGTAAATATCTCGATCCTTACGTGCCTCACTGGGCGTCGGGGAGTGCATGCGTCCGACATTGGACAGTGCATAAATACCTATAACAATATATACCTTATCAAATGAGCTTGAACAATCTGTGTTTTCTTTTTCGGAAGGGCTGCCTTTTACACAGCGGGAACGATTAAATGCATATGGATTCGCAGTAGCGGCGGAACACTTTCAATTAGGGGGGGGGGGGGACACTGCCGACTTTTGGTCCCATTCTTTCCATGCAACGCTCATAGGGCTAATGTTAAAATGCCAAAATCAAAGGGGGGCACGGTGCCCCGGTGCCCTCCCCGTTCCGCCGCCTATGTGGATTCGCAGTGATACAAACAGCTGTTGTACTGCATATTAATGGGAGGTCTGAAATGTCAACCAGATACCTTCCTTGGGAAACCATTACACAACCAGCGTGAGCTTGAATAGCGCGACTATATTCCATTGTTTTGTTGGGGTGTGCAGCACGGTATTACATAACACCAGCTCATTTCTGGTGGTATTTGGCTCAGCGAGCGCCCTCCCTATCACTACGGATGCACCCAAAAAGTACCACCACATGCCCCAGAACCCCCGAGGTCGTCTCTCGTCGGCTGACATCCGCCCAATACCGGATATTACCGCTGTGTGTGGCTGTCTCCAGGCCAGACCCGGGGTCAGTTTCCGATAGCGGTGTCACTGTTTGCCCTCCTGCTTCGCGGGGCCGTGTCACCGAGCGGTGATATTCAGTCTTCTGGGATATAGATCATGACGTGTCTGCTGTTGGTGGTCCCGCTACATTTGTGTTGCTAGTACGGTGCGATGATGTCAAAATAGTGAGCCGGTGGGGAGTCGTATTACGGCGATCAGCTGGGGTCCGCAGGGAAGAGTATGTTTGCGTTACGGCCCCCAGGGTCGCGTACGATGTACGGTTTCAAGATTCAGGGCCACCCGCGACCCAAGTCGCGTAACAGGGAGCCTGTGTCCAAGCGGTAATCCAAGTGTCAGAATAGTCTAGTTTAAACGTCGTTCTGTCGGAAAAGGCCAAACACCAGTGCCACGCCATATTGTATTGTGAGCCCTCACAGAACACGAAGCGTGGCGTCCCAACCGCCGTGACGTAGCCCAGGTCCGTCCGAAGGCTGGTGCTCTCCAGTTCCTGGGATCCGGACCAGCACATTGTTAGCGCCGATAGGGACCGCACTCGTTACCGCGGCCAGTGGAATGTGATTGAGATAACATCCGCCCCCTTCATCTTCATATGAACAGTCCGGTCAATCGCTGGGCCACCCGGCTGCGCGAACACTTTGTGTACACTGTACAGGGCTGGAAGTCTCTAAATTCTCAGTCCACTTGAGTGTGACAAAAGTACAAGGTTGTCTTAGCGCAACGGCTTTCGGCGTACAAGGCCACCCATCACCATGCCTGGGCCCCACAAAGGATACTGATGAGTGATATTTGTACGACACGCGAAAAGTAGACATCGTAAGAAAGGCTCAGTTAGAACAGCGATACACACCTTGTCATTGCTCGATAGTTTGCCCAGTCCTACGCTTGGTTCCGGGCATATGAAGGATAAAAACACCGTCATTTATCTCTTAGTTCTTACATCATACTTTACAAACACACGCACACCACATTTACACCGCACACTCCAGAAGTGACACGCAACTATACATATACATACACAGCAATGCTGAAAAACCGAACCTTCGCTCTGTTGCCACAGGACCTAAACATGAGGCGCCTTCGTGCAAAGAAGAACCGAAAAGCTGGTTAAGCACGAGTAAAGATGTTCGGCGTGTAATCATCTAGTTAGCTTAAGAAGACCTATAAAATCGATCGATTTATAGACATGCTGCTGCTTCATCAATGCTGGAATATTCTCAACTGGAACGTTTTGGATATTTCACCAGAGATTTCCGTTTCATCAAGCTTCTCTGGACCCGACTCGGTGGCGTCAGGTTTTCCAACCATCCATAACTTCTTTCACTTCCTCGTCGGTTGCGGGTGAGGCCGCCGGCGGTACGTTCCCTTCCCTCGATCGTCAGTCGCTCGCTCACAGTCCCAGTCGGGAGAGCGCCAGCCGCGCCTGTTCGTTGACCACCTCAGTGGCGCTGCGCCACAGGTCGCCGCGCTGCGCTAGGTACGCCACACCGGCCGCCAGCGCCGCGGCGAGCGTCATCACTCCCCCGAACACGATCTGAGGAATGGAGCGGTCGGTTAGGCAGGCGGGACGAGACACGAGCGTGAGGCAAAGCTGTGTGGGCGGTAGAACAGGGTTGATACGACCGAGAGTCAACGGAGAGCAAGCCAAGGTAACACGACTGAAAGTCTTAGCCACTGGGAGCAAAATAGGCTGGACTGTGGCCTATTAGGCCTGGCTTTAATATGTCTTTGCAGAGACCTGGGTTCGGGTTAAATCAACGGACGAGCCTTTGCATAGGTTGACTGAACCAATAACTGACTGAATGGAATATATTGAAAGCCTGAGAGCCGATTAAAACTCAATTGATACCAGAGAGAGAGCACCGATACAAGCGGACAGAGGCAGCATTCGGGACGGCACGGTCACCAACCCAACCCTCCATCCCCTTCCGTCCGTACCTTATCTTGTCGCTCTTTGTGCGCGATGGCCTGGTGGTAGCGCACCCTGGTGAAGGATACCATACTGTACAGCGGCGTCCAGCTATTGGGGAAGAACGTGTGCAGGAAACTGTCCAGCGCCTTCCGCATCAGGAACGCCCGCGAGTTGACCAGGTGTCGCATCTGGCAGACGGAGAACACGGTTAGTAAGCGAGGGGGGGGGTTCACTCAGGGGGGAGAGGGGTCAAACCAGAAGGCTCGGGATTGTCGGTGGCGGGTCATGTACGCTCTTCGGGGAGGGGGGGGGGGGGGTCAGGTAGCATTGAGGTCATGTGATGAGAACTCATTAGAATGCAAATACGGATTTGCGATACCTCCAAAACTTGTGAACGTTTTGTTGGAAGTTTGGTTGCTTGATCCGTAAACCTCTGTATACCGAGCTATACAGGGGTCTATGCTTGATTACGGAGCGAGCGAAGCGAGCGGAGTCTTTCCTTAGATTAACGAAAATTTCTGAGTATGAGCGGCCGGCCGGCCGGCCGGCCGGCCGTGCGGACGCTTTTGCGATCGGCTTATATCTCAGCAACCACTTGACCGATTTACACGCGGTAATTTTTGTAGGGTAGCTTCATTCCTTCTACCAAGTATTGGACCATTCCCGATGCATGTGGGTGACCCCTTTTGCACGTGCCACGTGCAAAACGAAGAGGTGTCAGTTTTGTAATTGTTGCAATATCTCGGTAACTACTTGGCCGATTGCGCTGAAAGTTGGCATGTAGGTAGGCACCCACTAGGCACTGCATATCCATGTGCCAGAGTTGGGGTGCTGCTGCACGTGCGCACGTGCAGGGGTCGTTTCCAGATCTCGAGAACGGCTGGACCGATGGCGCTCAAATTTGGTACACGGTTAGGGACCAGTTAGTAGGGTGCCGTGCACAAGTCAGTTGGGACCCATTTTGCACGTGCGCACGTGCAGGGTGCCGCTCCCAGATCTCGATAACGGCTGGGCCGATTGTGCTCAAATTTGGCACATCGCTAGAAACCGGTCAGTAGGGTGCCGTGCACAAGTCAGTTGGAGGTATCCCCTCGAAATTTCGCACGTGTAAGACTCACCCCCTCGCTCGCTCCGTTAGTCGCCCCAAAAGGCGCTATACTGGTTTTATTACGGAGCGAGCGAAGCAAGCGTAGTCTTTTCTTATATTAACGGAAATTTCTGAGTATGAGCGGCCGGCCGGCCGGCCGGCCGGCCGTGGTCACGGTTTTGCGAGGCTTATATCTCATCAATCACTTGACCGATTTACACGCGGTAATTTTTGTAGGGTAGCTTCATTCCTTCTACCAAGTATTGGACTATTCCCGATGCATGTGGGTGACCCCTTATGCACGTGCCACGTGCAAAACGAAGAGGTGTCACTTTTGTAATAGTTGCAATATCTCGGTAACTACTGGGCCGATTGCGCTGAAAGTTGACATGTAGGTAGGCACCCACTAGGCAATGCATATCCATGTGCCAGAGTTGGGGTGCTGCTGCACGTGCGCACGTGCAGGGGTCGATTCCAGATCTCGAGAACGGCTCGACCGATTGCGCTGAAATTTAGTACACAGTTAGGGACCGGTTAGTAGGGTGCCGTGCACAAGTCAGTTGGGACCCATTTTGCACGTGCGCACGTGCAGGGTGCCGCTTCCAGATCTCGAGAACGGCTGGGCCGATTGTGCCCAAATTTGGCCAATCGCTAGAGACCGGCTAGTAAGGTGCCGTGCACAAGTCAGTTGGAGGTACCCCCTCGCAATTTCGCACGTGCAAGGCCCACCCTCTCGCTCGCTCCGTTAATCGCCCCAAAAGGCGTTATACTGGTGGTATGACGGGTGTATGTAATCTCTCTCTGACTGACGCCGTTTTATTTAAAAAAAAAACTGCAGAAAACACGCCCAGCGCGACTCTGGACTCTATAGAGGTCGCGTTCTTGAGGCTCGCCTAATGGCCATGGCCGTTCGCTGTACGATACACAATTCTGTTTACGGGAACGTCAGGAGTGACCAGCCAGCCTAATGTCGGGCCTCCAGGCCACACCCAGGAAAAAAACTCCAGTGAACACCAGACGGATTTGGTACTCGTTTAACTAAGAGTGCAAACGAACTTTTACTCGCTCGCAGAAGTCAGCCTAACAGACCACAACCTAGGCCACCGAAGGTATCGGTAATCGATCAGAAGTCACGGTGCGTGGAGTAACTCTCCTCGGTTGCCGTGGAAACTGTCCACAGGACGGCACAATGTGCCGAGAATCAGTCCACATCGATAAATCTGTTTGGAGAGCATTCATACCGAAATCATCCTGTTGTAAGCTATAAAACAGACTACTTTAAATTGTTAAAGTGAACAACATTCACCGATAACTGATAATCTAAAGCTGTTTCAAAATTAAATAGGAAGCTTAACATTATTTTTTATCAGAATTATGTAAACTACTGTGAAACAAAGTGACCCCACCATAATCTGGAAAGCATCAGCGATAAACCCTGAAATGT